GTACTCAGGATAGCAAGGCCGTAGCTTCAGAGATGAGAACCCGCACGGGAATCTTCACTAGATGTTCTACGATCAGCGCCGACATGCTCACCTCGATGAAGCGGACGGTGACGGGCTTGTCCCTTGTGAACTCGACAAAGTCAAGCACGTCATGACCATCATTGAGCCCCTTGATGACGACGACGTTGAGCTTGAGACTCTGCACCCCGAGCTCGAGTGCACGGTCGATGCTCTTCATGACGGCGTCGAACCCCCTCCTGCGTGTCATGAACTCGAACTTGAAGGGATCCAGGGTGTCGAGCGAGACGTTGAGGTGGGTGAGGCCGGATGCGACGAGCCCGTCGAGCTTGCGTGCGAGCGAGATGCCGTTGGAGGTGATGCCGATCTGATGCAGTCCCTTGTGTTTCAGCTGGTTGAAGGACGAGACGATGTCGAGAAGGTCCCTGCGCACGGTCGGTTCGCCACCGGTGAGGCGGATCTTGTTGACGCCTTGGTCGACAAAGAGGGAGGCAATGCGCTGGACCTCGTCGGTGGAGAGGAGATGGTCCTTTGGTGTCAGGGGCACGCCTTCCTCTGGCATGCAGTAGAGGCAGCGGAGGTTGCAGCGCTCGGTCAACGACATTCTCAGGTAGGTATGCTGCCGGTGGAAGCGGTCGCGGAGGAAGGGCGAAGGAGGGGCGGGGTCCGGGTTTGTGGAGTCGATCTGGTGTATCCGGCGGCGCGCTCGGCTCTGGAGGTCGCCTGCCGAAGGGGCTGGCAGATGACCAGGGTCATGGAGGCATTGGTGGTGCTCGCTGGCACGGTCGGGATGCCCTGGCTTCTGCGTGAGGGTTGATGATCTGAAGCGTCGGGAGCGCTGGAGGGGTGGCAAGGGAGCCAGCTGTGGCGCAGAGGTGAGGAGTTCACATCTGGTCGCCGTCGCCAGGCGATGTGCTAGCGGTAGCATGATCCGCCGGATGTGACTGCGGCAATAAAGCGCGGAACGAGAGGAGAGGGAGGACGGGAATGACCTTTGAGAGAGTTGTGAAGAAGGAAGGAAGCGCTTCGCAGCTCGACTCGCGACCCTTTGACCTTCTCCACACGAGTGCCGCCCCGCAAAAAACCAACGGCCAGCGTGCCTGCCAGAGTTAGTGTAGTGTTGCAGTCGGTTCCGAGGATGCGTCTTTCGGACAAGGCCGAGGCCAAGTTCGGATCTTGGCCCGAGGGCACCTCCCTGTCGCCTTGTGCTTCTGCGCGTTCCAGCTCGACAGTCCAGCCGGCGCTACGGCAGATGCCGTGGTGGATGAGCCAGCGCCCAGCCCAGGTCAGGCCGTCGTGTCGATAAAGACAACCATGACCCCCAATCCAGACTGGAGGGGCCTGCCTGATCACATCTCTCGTTCCCTCGTTGGCCGCTTATGATTCGTCAAAGTCTTATCATTGCTCATGCGCGGCAATCTTAATGGCACCTGCCGAGTACCGAGGCCAGAGGGAGCCGGTTGTGTGGCGCGAGCGACCCCCCGCTGGCCGAGGGTGCATCCGTGCATCCGCCGGTAAGAGAAGGGCGAGCGAGCAGATGAGCACGGCCGGGTTACCGCCCGCCCTACTACCTGTACTGCCTGCCCCTTCCAACTCGGCCGTCCTGCTGGCGAGCTGCTTTCACCCTGCCTGGCCTGCTTCGCCCCCTTCTTATCGCTCGGGTCGCCTGACTCGGCGTCGAGGCTCTCTCCCCGCTCGCCAGTCGATATCTGGCGCATGTGCGTAGCATCAAAGCGTATCGCACTCCGTCTATCGCGGCTCAGCATATACATGGCCAGCGCAGCATGACCCTGCCTCTCGCGGGAGCCTCGAGTTCACGTTGCGCACACGAGAGCCAGAGGGCGGCGTCGGTCCACGACATCGTGGCAACGCGTAGTCTACCTCAGCAAGCGAGCCTTCGCCAAAGAAGCTGGCCTCCTGCCGCGCTCGACGACGTGTAGCCTGTTCCGAGTGGTCGCCCGCGACATCGCGCTCCTCGTCGTATACATATAATCCTGATCGAGAGTGGCATCGCTCCACTTCGTTCACTGCCAGCCACCCTCGTCCCCCTCTTTCCAGGCCTCCATCGGGCGCTCAAGCTCAAGCTTGGACCTACGAATCACGCTCACGACGACAATTCGCGAGATCACGTTGACTGGTCATCGATCTCGCCCCCCCACCCCTTTCCGCCCCGATCGAAGCACCTCATCTCAGCATCTTCCCGCCACCGCGTCCGCGCAAGACAAGATGGGCACCGGCAACGACGAAAAGGCCATGATTTCGGTGCAGCCTCTGGCCACCGAGCAGCCAAGCTGGCAGTCTGCTCCGGCCGCAACGACACCGCAGCGAGATGCCCCGAGACGATCAGCGCGACAGCCAGGAGTTGCGGGCTACCTACGCCACCTCTTCTCTCGCGAGGCCTGGCTCGGCGACTACGACTTTGGCACGCTCTGCATGCCCCGGCTCAGGCCATGGGCGAGGAACGGCGGCAGCGGTGCGTCGAGCGCGGCGCCCTTTTACGGCGTCCACGACGACCTGCCCATCACCCTCGCCGCCATCTGCGGATTCCAGCATGCGCTGGCCATGCTCGGCGGTCTCATCACCCCGCCCATCCTCATCGCCTCGGCGGCCAACCTGCCGTCGGAGCAGCAGAGCTACCTGATCTCGGCATCGCTCATCACCTCGGGCATCCTCAGCGCCATCCAGATGAGCGCCATCCCCCTGCCCTTTGGACGTCAACTCGGAACGGGCTTGCTCTCCGTCGTCGGCACCAGCTTCGCCACGCTCAGCACGGCCACTTCAATCATCGACAATCTGTACAAGGACGGCACCTGCCCCGTCGTCGACGGTGTCCGACAGGCCTGTCCGGAGGCGTACGGCTACATCCTCGGCACCTCGGCCGTCTGCTCGCTCCTCGAAATCTTCCTCGCGCTGCTTCCTCCGCGGGTGCTGCGCAGGATGTTCCCGCCAGTCATCACCGGCGTCGTCGTCATGCTGATCGGCATCAATCTGATTGGCGACTCGGCGCTGCCCAGCTTTGGCGGCGGGTCGGCGTGCCAGAGCACCGACTCGCCCTGCCCGCTGCCTCGGTCGTACCTCTGGGGCGATGCCCATTACCTCGGCCTCGCCTTTTTCAGCTTCATAACCATCATCATCGTCGAGATCTTTGGCTCGCCGGCGATGCGCAACGCGTCCATCATCCTCGGCCTGCTCTTGCCGCTGGCCGTCGCCGGTCCGCTCGGGTACATGTCGGGGGCGGACATCAAGTCGGCCAAGGCCATCACCTTCCTCTGGGTCGAAACGTTCCCACTCAAGGTCTATGGCCCCGCGGTGCTGCCCCTGCTGGCCGTCTACGTCGCGCTGATGATGGAGGCCATCGGAGACATAACGGCGACGAGCGAGGTGTCCAAGGTCGAGGTCGAGGGCCCCAACTACGACCGGCGCATCAGCGGAGGCGTGCTGGCCGACGGCATCGGCGGCCTGCTTAGCGCGCTCCTGACCATCACGCCGCTGTCGGTGTTTGCGCAGAACAACGGCGTGATTGCCATCACGCGCTGCGCCAACGTCCGGGCAGGCCGCTGGACGAGCTTCTGGCTGATCCTCTTTGGCATCATTGGGAAACTCGCGGGCTGCGTGCTCGAGATCCCGGCGCCGGTGCTCGGGGGCGTGCTCCTCTTCCTCTTTTCCAGCATCCTCGTCAGCGGCCTGCGGGTGGTGGCCATGGTCAAGTTTACGCGGCGGGTGCGGTTCGTCCTGGCGACGTCGTTTTCGCTGGGCATGACGGGGATGATGGCCGACGGGCTGTGGGAGCGCCTGTTTACCTATGGCGGCGACAACAAGGCGCTGCGGGGCTTCCTGGACTCGATTGTCATTGTGCTGTCGACGCCGTTCCTGCTGGCGGCGATTGCGGGCATCGTGGCCAACCTGATCCTGCCCCGCGATCCCGAAGACGACGACGTGGACCGGGAGTCGTACAGGGACGAGGAGGACAAGGTGCTGCGGGCGTAGGGGCCTTTCAGTGGATGGGTTGCGTTTTGCATTCTGCTTCTGTATCATAATCGTTCTGTGCCCTTCTGAACTTCCTCCTGCCATTCGATGGGGTGATGTCGACGACGAGCGCCGTGGTTCCGCTACGCTATAGGGAGCGGGAAGGTCCAAAGTAGGCTAAGGGACGCGCGCTCGGCAGTCGGGGTCAGTCAGGTGGCCAGCCTGTTTCCCCGCACTTTGCACCTGCACGCGCTTGGGCCCCACCGGCTTTTCACGCAGAGGCAGGCAGGGCCGGCCAACAGAGGTGCGAGCAACGTCCTTCCCCCCCCCCCCCCCCCCATCCCGCTTGACGTCTTCCATCGATACGACATCTACCCACAGTGCACCTCCGGTCGACCGTCGAGCATGTCAAGCCCATCCGCCTCGCCGTCTGGCGCTCGCCGCGGCGCCTCCGCCCAAGACATCCTGGCACACCACCTCGCCGTCGCAAAGGACTTTGTCAAGGACCCGCCCGTGCGACCCACGACCAAGCGCGCTTCGCACGCCTTCCTCGTCGGCTACCTCATCAACGTCGCCCTCGACGGCATCCTACCGGGCATCCTCCGCAAGAAGTCGTGAGTATCTCCGTCTCTGCTGGTCCCCGTTGCTGATATGACAGACGGCTGGCAGGCTAAGACCAACCAACGCCCTTCGCTCCGTTCTCCCTTGCGCAGCGCGTCCGAGGCGCTCAGGTCGCTCGTCTCCGGGCCAACGTTCCGCAGCGCATCCTCGCTCGCCCTCTACTCGCTCCTCTACCGTACGCTGATCAAGCACATCACCAGGCTGCGCATCCTCCTCCTCGACAAGGTCCCCTCGCCAGATAGCCAGGACCTCTCGACGCATCGCTCGCGCCTCTATGCTCGTCTCACGCGCACCCTCCGCTCGGCCTTCCTCGTCCCCTTCCTAGCCGCCCTCGCCGCCTCTCCAGCCTCGATCCTCTTTCCTAACCCATCTCTCCGGCAGACCTTCTCCATCTGGGCCCTGGTCAGCGGCATCGAATCCGTCTACCGCGAGGCGCGCCGCCACAACTCTCGGCTCGTCTCGTGGGTGCCCGACTTTGTCGGCGGCGGCTTCTTCTACGCCCTTGGAAACGGACAGCTGCTCTGGAGCTTCCTGTTCGAGCCCGAATGCTTCCCTTCGGCCTACGGCAAGGTCATCCTCGCCCGCTCCACGGCCTACATTCCGCCGCGCCCCTCGGGCCTCCCCGCCAGCATCCCCTGGCCCGCGCCACGAGAGGTGGCAGATACCATCGCGCTCCTCAGCACGCCATCCTCGACCTCGCCCGCATACCCCGCCTTCTCTGCGCCCCTTCTCTCCGCCTTAACCCCGCTCGACCACGCGACCACATCCTACAGCCTCATCAACCCCATCCTCGACTACTCGCCCGCCCACCCTGCGCACACCTCGCTCCTCTGCGCGGTGCTGCACCCGACCGAACCCAGTTGCTGGAAAAACTTCTTTTCCTTCTGGGTCAGGGAGTGGGGTGCGAGCGCGCGCTTCGTCGCCGCCTTTGCCGCCATCGGCCAGGCGTTTGCCTGGAAGAAGATGCTCAAAGACCCCGAGACCGCGCTCTTCAAATACGCCAAGGCCGTCGTCCAGGGCGCCACCGTCATCAGCGGCAGCATCGGCACTGCATGGGGTGAGCGTTGGCCGCCACGCTGCCGAGAGACGGATCACATCCGACTCGTTGTCTGACCGTCGCATCTCTTCGGCGCTTTGTCCCTCGCACACAGCCTTGACGTGCTTCTTCCAGAAGTACCTGCCCCGCACCTTCCTGCCTCGGTCCAGGTACTTCCTCAACGGTGTCCTCAGTTCCGTCTTTATACTCGCCGTGCCTCGGGCCAGGCGGGCGCAGCTGGGCTCTTGTGAGTCCGTCCGGCTTGGTGCGATCGCTCATCCCGAACTCGCGCTGAAAACTCCCTCACCGAACCCGATGACGACGGAGTCATTCTCACGCAGACGTCACAAGGCAGAGTCTCGCCAGCACTTGGGGAATCCTCAAGAAGCAGGGCAAGGTCAAGAGCATCAGGTGCGTGAACAGCCTGAGAAACCGTTCCTCAGGGATGGCCAAACCACCGGGTCGATCTGTGACTCAGCTCTCTCGGCCGTCTCTCCATCGTTACCTCTTTTGCAACCCACCAGGAATGGCGACGTCTTCCTCCTCGCCCTCGGCCTCGGAATGCTGGCTTCGCTCCACGAGAACCGGCCCACCGCCCTGCCGGGCAGCACCCGGCGCGGCCTCTCCCTCATCCTCGGCCCTCCCAACGAGGCGGAAAAGGCTGTCCTGGCCCAGCGCGTCGACCCTTCTGCCGACTTCAAGTCCGAATAGGGCGACGGGCTGCAGAACCACCTGTTGCTTGTGCCTCGCGCCGAGGTCCGAGGGCCAAGAGAGCAGAGTGGATGCAATGCAGGATGTATTCGGGAGTGAACAAGTACAGGAGATGCGATGGATCTAGCCAACAAAGGCGGTCGACACTGGAACAATGACAATCGTAAACCAAGGGGGCGGCTGCCAGGAAGGAAACGTGGCAGCTGGGTGTATCTCGAGAGAGTCGCGACGGATGACGTGTCCGGCTTCTACTTGGCCAGGTCCTTTTCGAGCTCGCCGAGCATCGCGTACAGCTCGCCGTCGCGGATGGCGGCGTAGATGACCGAGACGTAGCCGCCAGTGGTGTTCCACTCGGCGTACTCGCCCTGGAACTCGTGCAGGTTCTCCTTGCCGTGCATGGGCACGCCGAGCGTCTTGCGGACAAACTCGTAGACCCGCTTCGTCTTGCCCAGCAGGCCTGAGGCGTGGCAGGCGTAGGGGTCCTCGAGGAACTTCTCCGTCACCTGGCGGTAGATCTTCTCGGTCTCGGCCACGCCGGCAGCGCGCCAGCTGACAATGTTGCGCAGCGGGTCGGCTCCACCGCCGCTGGGCAGCTCCGAAAAGTAGGCGACGAGCACCGAGCTGGCGTCCTGGTAGGTCTCGACGAGGCGGTCGCGGAGGTCCTTGGACGACGTCTCGTCGAGCCTCTTGCTGAGCTGCTGCAGGACCTTGCCGGCGATGCTGGTCTGGACCGACTCGTCCATCCAGGTGCCAAAGAAGCGTGCCAGCGAAGTCTTGATGTAGCCGGGCAGCATCAGGGCCACCTCGGCCTGCAGCGCGCGGATGTCGAGCGCCTGGCAGAGGAGGTAGAGCGACCAGGCCTGGATCATCGAGAGGCACTCGACGGCCTGCAGCGTCTGGCGGCCGCTGAGGAGGGCGAGGGAGTTGATGGCCTGGTTGGCCATCTCGGCGCTCTGGACGTGCGTCGAGACCGGGTTGCCGAGCCACATGAGCTCCGACGTGACGGCGGCCAGCGCGATGTCGATGCCCTTGGCGTGGAAGTTGAGCGAGAGGTCGGGCGTCGAGGCCAGGTTGGCCGGGAGGCCGCGGTTCATTGCCGGGTTGACCAGCTCCGTCATCTGCTGGAACGTCATCTTGCCCATCGCGCAGAGGGCCAGGCGGATCTTTTCGACGGCGTTGGTCATCGACATGGCCTGGAAGTTGCCGCCGTGGTGGATGCGGCCCTCGCCGTCGTAGGGGTCGATCATGGGGTTATCGGTGGTGCTGTTGATCTCGATTTCGACGCTCTTGATGGCCGCTTCGATGTCCTCGAGGCCGGGTCCGACCCACTGCGAGGCAGTGCGCAGCGTGTATCGGTCCTGGCGCAGCGTGCCGTTGTCCTCGGAGATGAGGACGTGCTTCTCGTCCTCGATGTGCTGGGCCAGCTTGGATCCGCGCAGGAGGCTGAGGATGAGGCGCGAGCTCTTGATCTGGCCCGGGTGGGGACGGGCGACCTCGTGGATGAAGGGGACAAAGCTGGCGTCGGTACCCTTGAGGGCCTCGACGGCCATGGCCGTGGTGAGCTGGGTGAGGAACGACAGCTTGTCGGCCTCGTAGGTGACCAGGCCGGCGACCGAGGCGGAAAAGGCGGTTCCGTTGAGCAGGCCGAGGGCCTCCTTGGGTTCATAGAGCACGGGCTCGATGTTGTACATCCTGCAGGCCTCGCTACTTGGCACTTTGATCCTGTTGCCCTCGGGGCCGGTGACGAAGCACCAGATCCCCTTCTGGCCGGCGAGCGCACCGGCGATGTAACTGAGCGGGCTCAGGTCGCCGCTGGCCGAGATGCTGGAGCGGACGGGGACGACGGGGGTCACGTTGTTCTCGAGGAAGAGCTTCTGCATCTTGTCGAGGACCTCCCAGCGCACGCCGCTGTGTCCGCGCATGAGGGAGCTTAGGCGCACGACGATCGCACCGCGCACCCAGGCCTCGGGCATGACGAGGGACGTCTCGGTGTCGGTGAGGGGAAGCGCAAAGGGGGCCGAGCTGGGCTCGCCAGTGGGAAAGGTCGAGGGGACGGGGAGCACGCCGCACTGCTGCATCTGGAGGAGCGCCAGCTGAAGCGCCTTTGTGTTGGCAGTTCTCGAGTCGGCGGAGCCGCCGAAGCCGGTGTTGATGCCGTAGATCGACTCGCCTCGGTCTAGCTTGCTAATCAACGACTTGACCGAGTCGTCGATGCGCTTTCGGACCGCGGGCGCCTGGTCGAGGACGGGGACGTGGCCGTACCTCGCCGAAGCGACAAGGCCGGCAATCTTGAGGGTCTGGCCGTCGATGACGACCTGGTCGGTGACGAGCGGCGACGCCTTGCGCGTCTTGGACGTGGTCGACTGCACAGGCACCGGCGCCGCAGCGGCGGGCAGTGTCGAGGCGGTAGGGGCCATGGTGGGCAGAGGGCTGTCGAAGGATGAGGAAGTCGGTGTGTTCAATCTCTAGACTTGGCCTGCCGTCGCTGGTGTGCGTCTATGCGATGCGGTGCGGGATGGTGCGGAACGGTGCGGAAGGCTGATGGTGACGAGCTGGGGATCGACAGAAGGTTGCGGGAAGACACTGGTGCAGATCACCCGCCTCTTATATCCTCGTCGCTCTCTGCGAAGGTGAGGCGCGGTGCCAGGCGGTGCGGTGCGGTGCGGAGGCCGTTCCGACGCCCAACAGACAAGGGCCGGACTGGATAAGGCGGGCGATACGGGGCTTGATGGCCGCGAGTTGGCTGAGTAGCAGCGTGAACGGAAGCCGACAGTCCGTGCCCCTGCTTTTTTGCTCGGCCCTCGAGCCTGCTGTCTGCTGTGGAATCCGAGCGATCCGCGCCGCTGGCACAGCCAGCCTGGGTGACCAGCCGGTCAGGAGACCCTTCGGAACGCCCGAGTCCGGGTCGACCGAAGCTCGGCGGAAACAGCGAATGGCGGAGGCAGCCCCTCCTCGACCCAGGAAAATTCCGCTTATCAACGGGCGGGGTCCCGGCTTCGACCAAAGCGCCCGGCTTGCCTACCCTGCCGCCTGTTGCTTTCTTGGCCCGATGCAGCCGTTGGGCGCGTGGGGGCCCCTCATGACGTGGCGGGGGGGCGGGGCCAGGTCCGGCGAATGCACCGATGGCGCGAGAAAAAAGGCGTCCCCTCGTCCACTGGCCGAAGATCACATCCAGCCTAGACCCAGCGGCGAATCCGCCGAAAGCGGAGAGGCAACCAAGGCCCAGCTGGCCGAACAAGCAGGCAGGCCAAGATATGTACAGGCAGGCAGGGACACGCGATTCTAGGTACACCTAACAGCGCGGCCGCGCGTGGCACAAACACCTCGATGCGCCCTGCAGATCCCCACACCCTTGGCTCCTCGGATGGAATCCCTCCCGGCTCCTCGAAGACGGAGCGAAGCGCCGTCGCAATGAGAAGCTCTGTGCTGCGAGGACGTGTTCGGAGCCGGGAATCTTGACTTCTGCATGTCCTCACGCCGAAGCAGGGAGGATGGCTTCGCGGATCCGAAGTCGAGCCGGGAGGAGCCGCGTGCTCGTCGTGCGCACGGCTCGCCACTCCAGCGATACCCCTGTCATCTGTCACCATTGATCCGCGGCCCTGCCTCGCCGACGAAAGGGTATCCGTCAACTCTCTTCGCCCTTTGACCGCATCGTCCGTGCATGAGACAAGCCGGCGGGAAGGGCGGCTTCGGCCTCTCGTGCTGCTGCTGCAGAGCAGCGCCGACACGATCGAAGCCATGTGAAATGACACCGCTCACCTCGACGGGCGAATCATGTGAAGCAGAGTGGATCAAGTGGAGTGATGTGCTCAATCAAGGTCTTGCCAGCTACGCTTCAAGGCAAAGCTGGAGGCAGGCCAGTAGCGAGAGACCAACGTGTCACCAGTTTCCGGGCTTGCCCAGCCAGCCACCCCTCAACTCGTAGGAACATGCTTCGTTCCCGATGGCATGGCGAGCCGGTTGTGACGGACCTTGACATGGTGAGCAGGGTCCACTGCCAGCGAAGAGCGGACGAGAGGTGCCTACGATGAGAAGGCCAGGACGGCCCGCGCAAACGACGCGCAATATGCGCATAGCACTCTCAGACTCCTACCCTTTCAGGCCGTCTCGAACGAGCAACGATGCCGCCGGAATCAAAGATTAGATTCCTGGGTCCAACGGGCCGTCCGATAAGATCGACGGGAAGGAGAACGTGACACAGAGTATCGTTGAAAGGGAGAGATGCGACAGCCACGGGGCATCGGCCAGCCCGCTTGCATCCGACGATCTGCTCAGTTCTTGCTTCCGATGAAGGGCACAAAGCAGGGGACCTGCTCCTTGTACTGCTTCCACTTGGGCTCGTCCTTGAACTTCTTGTCTCCGCCCTGCTCGAGCAGAGGGACGCCGCTGATGAAACGGATCAGGCAGTACTCGAGAATGGGGCTGGCGGCGGCGAGGCCGACCGTCCAGGTAGGGTAAAAGGGTCCAGCGTTGGTGAGCGCCGTGGTAGACAGGATGTACATGCCCGTCCACAGCGAGATCTCGCCAAAGTAGCTGTGCGTGCAAGCAGATCCGGGTGAGGAAAGGACCGATACGTCAGCTTCTGTCCAGAGCGGGCAGGCGCCCAGAGGGACCACAGCTGCGCGACTCACTTGGGGTGCCTGGACCAGCTCCACACGCCGCTGGAGAGGAACTTTTCATTGTGCTTTCCGGCCTCCTTTGCTTCTCGCCAAGCCGACTTTTGACGGTCGGCGATGACCTCGAGGCCCATGCCAGCCATCCAGATGGCCAGGCCGGCGAAATCGCGGGCGCCCAGAGGGGGCTGTGCCTTGCGCGGAACCGAGTTGACAAGGTAGATGGGAAGCGCGGTGACGGCGATCCAGGTGGCCTGCATCATCCAGGCGCCAAAGAATTTGACGGGGCTCTGCTTGATCTCGTCGAAGCGCGAGTCGCCGCCGGACTTCTTGACGCGCTGTGGATTGAGGTCGATGTCGATGTGCGGGCCGGTCCAAGCAGGAGGGCGTGGAAATAGGATCAGCCAACGCTGCGCGTGCGAAAGCGGGCAGATGGCCGAACAAAGGCTCACCTGGAAGAGGAACGTGCCGAGGCGGAAAGCCCAGAACATGGCGAGGCCGGTCATGATCGTCTGACGAGGGTGGAAGGCAGCGAGCGAAGTAGGAAAGGGGACCTTTGTGCCGTCGATGAACCTGGCGCGGATCCAAGGCATGTAGAGCGACAGGCCCGTCGCTGAGATGAAGCCCAGAGAGCCACAGAGGTCATAGTACTGCAAGAGGAGATGGACATGGCGTGCGACCGCGTCAGCCACATTGTCGTCGTCGCGGTGAACGGTCGCACACAAAATGCGAGGCGCGGGGGACGCTCGCTCGGTGTTGCTCTATGCGAGGCGACGGCCACCCACCTTTTCGGTCTTGTAGGCGACGGCGACGGCACCGCAGACGGCCTGGAAGCCATAGATGACGCCCATGGTGGGGAGGAGCGACCTCAGGCCGGCTGTGTAGGCGCTCATGGTGAAAGGCGTGCCTGGATTAAGGGAGTGCGGAGGATGCGGGGATGGTGATAGAGGAACGACAGAGAGAGAGAGAGAGAGAGAGAGAGAGAGGAGGGTCGGTCGTCCGTCCGTCCGGTCGGGTACGGACGTAGTCGTCGTCGTCCGTACGGACCGGACCGGTCCGGGTCCCGGTTCCGTCGACGTACCGAA